GCCCACTGGGCTCCAAAGGCAGCTCCTGCCCAGAGTTGGTTCAGCCTGGCTAAAGACCTGCACCCAGTTATGGGTGCAGAAATCTGGGGGGGGGGGGGGGGGCATGTGCCCCCCACATGCACCCAACTTATAGCCTGTGCTCTCTCCACCCCCTGCTGCATCACCTGTGCCCACACCCCCCTTCCTCCCACACACCCCATTTTCCCCCCACACACAGGGGGACAGTGTCCTGGGAGCCGGGGGTAGTAGGTTGGGAGTGAGAGGCACTGGCAGGGCCAGGGGGCTGTGGGTCAGTAGTGAGGGGCACCAGTGTAGCCAGGGGCCTGTGGGTCAGGAGTGAGGGGCACCGGAAGAGCCAGGGGGACTGTGGGTTGGGAGTGAGGGGTACCAGCAGGGCCAGGAGGCTGTGGGTCAAGACCGAGGGACACTAGCAGGGTCAGGGAGCTGTGGTTCAGGAGTGAGGAGCACCGGCAGGGCTGAGGGCGCTGTTTGGGAGTGAGGGGCAACAGCAGGGGCAGGGGCAGGGCACTGGCTGCTCAGAGTCACAAAGCAGCAGGGGGAAGGGGGCAGCCGCAGTTGCCCCCTTCACTTACCAGGATGTGGGTCCAGGGGGAGTTCTGATTTTCCATGATAAAAAAACAAATTCAAATGCCAAAATATATAGGTATTTAGAATTTATTTTATTATAATGACTGAGGCACGGTTAGGCTTCCAAACTGATTCAAAATTGTAAATGTGCGGGCCGGGAGTGATCCGGGTCCTTTTTCGCGCCGCGCGGGCTGTGGCCAGCAGCCCGGGCACGCTGGGTCAGAGAAAACAGGCGACATGCTAGAATTAGGCATGGACGCTTAATGGTTGATTCAAGATTGTTTACTTACACCGAAGATGGTCGCGGTGTAGGCTGGACAGTTTCCCAGGCACAGCTCCGCTTGAATCCTCGTTTGAGGACTTAGACAATATTCGGATCACTCCCACGGAGTTGTCGAGGCTCCGTGGATCCTTTTGCGTGCAGGGAGAGGGATACATCGAGGATTGAGAACGGCGACGGGGGGGGGCGAGAGGCTGGTGCGACCCCTGTTGCCTGCTTGAAATGCACTGGGTCAGATAGGCTCCGCAGCGCTTAGAGATCTTCACACAGCGTGAAGTCTCCTCCTCCTGGTGTTCGTGGAGTCCTCCAGCTTGGGCGGAAACCACTCAAGCCTTTTATACGGCTAGCAAGCCAATTGCTAGCCGTGAATAATTTCACGCAAGCCAATAATGGGGCTCGAATTATAATACAAATGGCGGGAACTCTTTGCAAAGTGCATTTCTGTGCTGCAAAGAAGAAATGCACACTGCAAAGAAAGCTACAAATTGGCGGGAAAATAATTCAGTGGTGCCAAAGCACACACAAAACAAAATCACACCTTTGGGTTGTGACAGTAAATATATTAAAAATTGTGTTCAACTGACAGCTATATATACAGTTGTGTTTCATTTTAAAAATGGAAAAATGTGGGTTTTTTAAATCAGAGAATTTGAGGTTTTTTATCAAAGAACTTGGGATTTTTAAACAGAGAAAACTAGGATCCCTGGTGATTAGGCATGTGGAACAGAATTGTTTTATTTTATTTTATTTAGGTTTGGATTCATAAAATCTGTCCCTGTGTTAAACATGTTGCAGAATGAGGTTTTAAGAACTTCCAGAGCTTGTACATGAATATTCACCTATGTTAGACCTTACATATCTCACTGTACAGGGATCCTTTTCAATTTGTCAAGTAAATAATCAGCCTCTTCCACAAATATCTAGTATCCTGTCTCTATGAAAACTATTAAGTAATCCAGTCCTTGATATGTATGGGCTGTAAGGATTATGTGGGATTCCATATCAATTTACTGATAGCGAACATTTTCACTATTATTAAGAGGACTATTAGGGTCATGAAATAAGTTATGGTGACACTGAGAAATAATGGAGAAAAGCCCTTCAGTTTCCCCTCCTCCACCACACGTGTATTAATACATATTATTATTTTCTGGACTAGGTAGACTAAAACAGTGTTCAAATGCTGCAAGAGTCTCTTGCAAGAGCACAAAACAGAGCCTTAAGTAGATTTCCATATCCCTGGTTTTTCATATATCTGTAAATTTGTGACACAAATTTAAATGCTTTTCTAGTACCATTTGGGGAACGTGTTTGAAAATTATTCTGCACCTCTGTAAGTAAACAGGTAGCTAGGCAAAGCAGCAAGATCAAGGCAAGAGTGCCCCTCAGTGGTAGTTTGTTGTTATGCTCTCTGGCTATACTCAGGATTTTTGTTAGAATTTTTTTTTATGAATGTGTATTTTTCATAATTCAGTGGCCAATCCCAGTCAAAACTTCTGATATGATATGATTATTAAAGGTCAATCATTTTAGCATATTAGATGTAATCATTAAATCAAATGGTACACAAATTAGTTAGTTTATATAACTGACATTAACAATATGAAAATACAAACAGTTTACCATGGGACACAAAAAAGGGCTGGGCTTTTCCATGCAGCAGATGTTCTGAGGTAACTGCCAGTATACACTCTTCACTTGTAGTCACTGGAAGCTAAAACATGGTCATTTATTGCTCTTTTATTGAGGACTAAGCTATTGGCATTTAAATTCCACTTGGCGGGAGATAAAAATGTGTGCATAGGCAGTTACTGTGGAGTGACTGCTGTGCAATAAAAAACAGCTCCATTTTGCCCCACTGTAAATTGTTCATATACCCATAACTTAAATGTTACTACAACGTTTTAATCTCAGAGTAGAATGCTGTATTTGTATGTGCAGGTAGCTTTTTTAAAGCAAGTAGCTATTTTCCATTGCTCAAATTCTGTCATTGTTTCAGCAACTTAATCAGTGAACGAGACCAATTTTGACTATCATGGGCTTTTAGTTACAGTGTGCGAACTGCATTGGTAACCTATCTGAATATTCCACATTGCATTAATTCAGTCATTGGAATTAAAACCTTGTAGTTCTTTGAAATATTTTTGTGTGCTCAAATTTTGCTTTCGAGTCCAATTCTGAAACTGTGCTTGTTTCTCCTGCCTCCATTTTTGGGTGATGGGAAACATGGGTATCCAGTATATATAGCATTATAGGGCATTATTTAGGTATCAACATCACTCCCAAGAGTGAGCACTAAGACGAAAAATGGGAGATCTGGGTGCAAGTAGATCTTGAAACCTTTGGTTAAAAGAATTGGAATGAGATGAGGAGTTCTCATCACAAGAGGGTATTGCAGGATAATTGTACTGTTAACTAGAGAAGGGATGTAGTCCTTTCCTTTCCTGGTGTTCATCAGCACCCATCTTTTCTGGCAACCAGTCCTAGTTCCTTATGTGTTCCAATTTGTGACTCTTTCCTCTTGCTTAATGGGATGCCTTAAAATCTAGTGATTTACACAGGCTGTAACCACATTCAGAAGAAGTACTGCAGTACCCGGTGCCAAGGATTGCATCTGAGCACTAAAAGTAAAGTCTCTAAGTGTGAGTGCATGTCATACAGGAAAACTGTATGACAGACTGACCAGAAAAGACTCCTGAATGTTCCTACAAGTGAAATAAGATAACGTGGTTTAAAGAAAGCTAATTGATGGGTAATTTACAATTGCATGAGACCCATGGAATAGAATGTTAGCTTTGTATGTTTTCTGGCACCTTGGTACATGTACCTGAAGTGATTGTCTATCTTCCTATTCTTGTTAACTTCAATGGGAGCAGGCCATGAAGTATCATCATCCTAAGTATTTTTTTAATAAAGGCTGCATTGTCTGGTCAGCAATATCAAGTAAATACATGTGTAATATAGTCACAGCTGATGAAATCTGTTAGTAATAACCAATAATTGGTAACCTTACTAACTGGTTTACACTACTGTATGCTTCTGAATTCATTCACTAAGAGTCCACTGGTTTTGAAGTGTGGTGACCAAAGTACATTGGGCTAAAACTCAGTGTTTGTAAAAAATCTACTTACTAATTGTTACTTTGTCTTTGTCCCCCAGCATGATGTTGTTGGGAGTGAGATCTCTATGGACAATCCTCTTTTCTTTGTGCAAATAACGAAGAGCTAAACACAGCTTTAAAACAAACATCAAACAAGGAAAGCACATTAGGAACTTTAGCAACTACTCAAAGTCACTCACAATAGCATTCATATGACAGTACTGTTTCAGCACAGTGAGGATTATTTTGTCAGGTTAGTAGCCTAACATATATAAGCTCTTCTACAAATTACATAAAGGAAGGTCATAAAACAAAATGTAGATCCTTACTTGTATAAATATATTCCATATTCTCTCTTCTGTGAACTGCTGCTGCTTCTCCTTCAAAGAACGAAAGTGTTCTCCTAGTGGTACCCCCTCTATGAGCTCCATTACTATGTACAACCTGTCATCTATGCACAACAAAGTAAAAGGGCAATAGCAAAAGAATATTATATAGAAGATATCTGAATACAGAACATTATTTTATTCTAAATATACAAATTCAATTGCTATTTGAGTACTCTACTAACGTATTTGTGTGAGCAAATAGATTTTATATTATAATTCTTGCTTATTATTCAAATCCTTCTAAAGAGCCATGCTTTCTACAACTACAGGAAATTAATCTAGCTAACTGTTAGATTAAAGAACAGTTATACATATGGGGAAAACCCATGAAATTAACAAATTATGGCCCATTTACCATTCATATTAAGTTTCAAACATGTTTGGATAATGTTTCTGTGTTTGGACAATGCCACGCAGACTGTGGTACTATTGCTATAGCAATAAATGTAAATAATAATCTAATTATTTCAGTTCTTAAAGCAGTCTAAGGCTATCAGAACCATAGCACTATCCCTAAGAGAAAGTTAGTGTCTACTGTTTGAGTTAGATATACCCGACTGTTTTGAGACATGTATATGTTACAATTCTTTCATTATATACAACATGGTAGCCTACTAAGACATACTTACTTTCTAGGAAAGTTCTGTAATATCGTACAACATTGGGATGATAAAGCTACAATAAGAAAAATAATTTAGAATTAGTGTCAGACAGAGAGCACATTTTTATACACTGATCTATAAATTGGGGCAGATACCAAGGTATGAAGAGCAAATATTTTTTAAAGTTTCAAAAATGACTTTGCATTAAAAAATTACTGTGTTCATACTGATTACAACTACTTCAATTTAATAAATATTTAGGAGTAGATTGTTCTCTAGTCTTAAGCACCTTTGCAGAGTCAAAGCAAAAAGATTTATCTTTTCTGTCTGTACTGAGAGTAAAAGGACTTCCTAAAAACACAGGCTGTGAACTCTAGGAGTGTACAGAAAAAAGGCTGAGCTATTTTTATGCTTTCTTCTGAAGCTGCATTATGGGAGAAGGTGTTTTGCGAATATGACTGTCACCAGTATATTTTCTCTCCTTAGAGCTACCAGGAACAGAGTGAATGAACAACATGGTTCCAAACTGGAAAAGAAGGTTAAGACCAAGCCTGCACTTTATGCCACTGGTTCAAAGAGAAAAGCCAACAGTGAATCAGATTTTTAATTTCAAATTACAACTAAAATGGGGACATGAACATAATTTTAATCACAAGGAAGAACTTTTTCTGACTAAGATCTAGTTCTAAATCCCTATTTATGCTGCTGGTAATATAGGCTGAGCTGCATGATAGAAGCTGTCAGAATAGTTAGACTGCTGGTGTTTTTTACAAAACAAAAATACTACCAGTAACAACCAGTAGTGCTCCCAGTACAGAAAACAATTCAGATGAGCTATTTTTAGTGCTGGTGAGAAATTTTTAGAGGACGTCCCCACATGAAGGTAGGATTTATGAGACTCACCTGTTCTCTAATGATGGTTAATTCAGAGACAATGTTCTTTACACTGCTCTCTCTGTCTTTTTTATCCTTTCCAAATGCTGGGTTATGTAAATTGACTTCTTTCATTGCTAGAAGATTTTGGCCACTATGTTTTCTAACCTAAGGAGAAGGGTAAAACTGTAAAAATCAAACAACAAAGGCAAAAAAAAAAAATAACTGTGGATATGAAGTTATTATATAAGGAGACATGTTTTGGTTCCATTACATAAATTAGATCCGTATCTCTTTTTACTGTGTGATCAAAAAGTGGTGGACCCTGTGGTAGAGATGGCAGTATCCTTCAGGGCTTGCCTAGATGTTTTAAGGAACATCAGAGATGCTCTCTGTGAGGCTTTGCAAAAACAGGGCTACGAATCCCTGAGCTTTATACAGATTTCTCACATTTTGTAGCAGGCAAAACTGCTAACTGTGAGAAGTAATTTAAAGGAAAAATGCAGCAATGAAGACCTGAGAAATGTATTGGTCCTTTTTACACATACAAATAGTGTCCAGCAAGAATACTAATGCTTATAATGGAAGCAAAAAACACCACCAGCCTGTAAATAGAAATTTTTTTTTTTTTTTTAATCAAAAGGCTAAGTTTACCTTATAAACACTTCCAAAAGCTCCACTGCCAAGATGATCTAAAATTGCATAATTGCCTATGTATTTTGTAGGTGCTTTGTTCTGATTAATGCTTTCAATACTTTCAGCAATTTGCTTCAATTCCTCCTCCTGGTTTTAAATTAAAAAAACACAAATGCAATATTTTAACTATCTACATGTGTGTATATTGCAAAGAGTAGGCATTTCTTAATTTTATGAAAAAATTGTGATTGTACTTACCAGTAATGAATTGAGCTTTGATACTAGCTCTTCATAAGCACTGATATCGCGAACGTAATGTCCAATATCAATGAAGATCTCAAACAAATCAGTAGGGAAGAGTCTACGAAGATTTAATAGTTGTATATTTTTTAAACTGAGGTTTATAACAGAATATTGTGTCCACAAGAGAGATTTTTAAATAATTTTAAAATTAAATTATTCATAGTTTATAATTATTTGCTGCTATTGCTTATTCCTAAATAATGTAATAAATTATTTTTAACCAATACCCAATCCCAAAAATCATACATCTTGCCATGCTTGACATGCATGCCAGGCTAGGTAAGCTACCCAATCCCCAGCTATGCGTGTCAGGCTCCCAGCATGTCAGCAACTTGACAGGCAGCCCAGTGCCCCTTTCAACAGACAAGGCAGCAGCATCCCAGATATCAGGGCTTATAGTTTCATAGTAGCTAGGGTCAGGAGGGACCTGAACAGATCATCTAGCCTGACCCCCTGCCACAGGCAGGAATGAATGCTGGGGTCACAAGACCCCGGACAGGTGTTCATCTAACCTCTTTTTGAATTTACCCAAGGTAGGGGCGAGGACCACTTCCCTAGAAAGTTGGTTCCAGGTTCTGGCCACCCTAACTGTAAAATATTGCCTCCTGATCTCTAACCTAAACCTATTCTCCATCAGCTTATTACCATTGTTCCTCGCCACCCCAAGTGGTGCTAGGGGGATTAGGGCTCCCTTTGATCAATCTGGATGATTGGCTGACTGTAAGAATCAGGCAAGGGGTGGCTGTGGAACATCTTTATTGTTTGCTTGCCATTTTATTACATCATAGAATGGCCATATCATGTGATAAATGTAATATCTGCCAGGCCCCTGAGGATGGGAGGCAGGAATACAACATACAAATCAATGAACACAGTGAAAATTAGGCTAAGCATTTATGGTTGTTTTTTTGGTTGATGTTTGTCTGTCTTTTTAAACAGATAAAGACAGGATAAGGGATGGCAAGGATGGAAATGAAGAAAAAGTGTGTTGGAAAAAGAAGGATGGAGAAGAGTCAGTCACAACTTCTCACCTGTCTAGCCAATATCCTCGACACATTTTTTAAACTGGACCCCTAGCAGACCAACGAAAGCTGGCTAGGTCTGATTTATTAAAACAAAAGTAAAATGAAAGGGTATATAGCTGTAAAATTCTGTTTATATGATGCATCAAATGCATAGGTAAACACTACTTAAAGTCACTGGCATCTCCCCTCCTCCCTGCCATTAAGCAGCACCTAGGCCTTATGCCCTGCTCACCCACCTGTCCTTATGCTACTGTTTGTAAGCTCTATAAAACAAATTCCATGAAATATTTCATTTCCATACCTTTTAAAAAGATGTCTATTTCTTTCCATACTGAAGAGAAACCTCAAGGCTCTAAAAGCATAACACTAAGGTAAGAAAAATGTTTATGTTAATCATAAATTTCAGGCAAATTAAAAAACAGCATATAAAACAACATGGGATCCAAACAGTCTTGACCTTTCTACAAAGTGACTAAGTAGGCCATTCTATTAGCATGGTAATTATCTTCATGAAAGTAAAAATAAACAGTTCTACACTTTGGTTACAAGCCATCTGTTTCAATGCATACTGTACTTCAAATGTGGGCAGGCCTTCTTGAAACTATGGATGAATTATATATACATGAATAATATTATACTTTGAGGTTCATGGAGTTTAAATCATTTTCTTTTATTTGTGTATAGCTAGTGACGGAGTCATATTCTGCTCTATGATCCTGGAATTGCTACACTGAAGCCAGTGGGGTTGCACAAAGATAAAAGAGCAGAATTGGACTGTTTTTTTATGAAAACTGGAGTGTATTGTTATTATTTATTTATGCCATGTATATGCCACGCTTTCCAACAAAGGCTCAGGGCGGTTTACAATAAGTAGAGCACTAAAAATGTCAAAAGGAGATAAAAAAGAAACACATCCCACTAATGACTTTTAGAAATCCACAAGTTTGCCTGGAAATTCTCTCTCACCTTCCTACATGGGAAGCTTGATGAGAGCAAGCAGGTTAGCAGGGAAAAGGGAATCTTTCAGAACCAAGAAGCAGTGAACAAGTCAGCTTACAGGGAATTTTGCTAGGGAAGACCTGCTTGAAAAGAGGGACAAGGAGGAGAGGTGGCGGATTAAGAGACCCAGATAAATGGCTGGAGGAAACTGCAATGCCAGAGCCACAGCTACTTTGAGGTCTTCCTCTGCTTGTACCTGTAAAGTGTCTGCCCAAGGTAGAACCGCTCATTATCAAGGCTTCCACCCAGGTCCTGGTTTGGAGCTGTGGAGACTGCAGCTTGCAGGTTCCTTCCAGTGACAGCTAGATGGGGGAGTGCCTGTGATATGAACAGTGCCTCCTGGTTGTACCACACTCTCAAGCAGGCAAGAGAGCTACAGGAGGAGGTGGTAAGGCTCTGAAGCATCCTCTGCCATGAGGACTTCATTGATTTAAGGTTGGAGGAGACCTCTAGGACTGCAGAGGAAGGACTGCCAGAGCAAGCGCTAGAGAAGGAAGAGGACATGAACTCCAAAGAAGGTGGAAGTTGGAAGTTTGTGAGTTCTGGCAGTAAGCAGAAGTCTTCATACCACCTTCAGTGGTTTGCCTAGAGAACAGATATAGAGCTCTAGTGACAGAAAAGGAGAAGCAATGTTCTGTTGGTAGAACAGGCCAGGCCAGGCTTTCCCGAGGTTGAAAGGATTGAGACCGTTGCCATCAAGAGGAAATGATGGGTGGTGGTGGTTGCAGGCTCCCTTCTGCAGGGGACAGAGGGATCCATCTGCAGGCCTGGCCTGTTGTCTTGGGAAGTATGCTGCATGCCCAGAGCCTGGATCCAAGATGTCATGGAAAGATTGCCAAGATTCATCCAACCATCTGACTACTACCCTATGCCGCTCATGCATGAGGGCACCAATTAAATTGCCAGGGGTGACCCTGAGCAGATCAAAAGTGACTACAGGGCTCTGGGTGCAAGGGTGAAAGGGACAGGGGCTCGGGTGGTGTTCTCCTCAGTCCTTCTAGTCAAGGGAAAGGACCCAGGCAGGAGTGGACTCATCCTGCAGAGCAATGAATGGCTGCACAGATGGTGTCGCCAGCAGGGCTTTGGCTTCTTCAACCATAGGATGTTGTTCCAAAAAGGAGTGCTACCTGTCCTTATGCTACTGTTTGTAAGCTCTATAAAACAAGTTCCATGAAATATTTAATTTGCATAACTTCCAACTACCTGAAGGGTGGTTCCAGAGAGGATGGAGGTACATTGTTCTCAGTGTTGGCAGATGGCAGAATAAGGAGCAATGGCCTCAAGTTGCAGCAAGGGCAGTTTAGCTTAGCTTTTAGGGAAAACTTTCTTGTGAGGAGGGTAGTGAAGCACTGAAACAGGTTACCCAGAGAGGTTGTGGAATCTTCATCCATGGAGGTTTTTAAAACTTGGTTAGACAAAGCCTTGGCTGGGATGATATAGCTGGGGATGGGCCTGCTTTGAATAGGGGAGTTGGAATAGATGACCTCCTGAAGTCCCTTCTGACCCTAATTTTCTATGATTCTAATTATCAGATCAACCAAACAAGTAAACTTCATCTAGTTTACAGGGATTTCTAAAAATAATTTAACTTCTATATAATCATTATTACAGAAAAAAAAAACCCATGAAAACGTAATAAACAAAAGGAAGTTGGACTGAGATCAGAGCCTCTTAGATAATAAATATTTTCTTAAGGTAACTCATTTGAATGCTGTCTAACTATACCTACTTGTAGCAGGGCACTGTTGGTGCCTGCCACTTTAAGGGCTGGGTCAGGCATCTAGCAGTTGCCTGATGGCAGCAGCCATTTTGAGGCCCTAGTATATAAAGGCTGCAGTCCCCTGCTGCCAGGGCAGGCAGAAACATCACCTAGCTGAGCTGCAGCAGGAACAGCCTGGAGGTAAGGGCAGGAGCTTATGGGGATGGATAGGAGGCCCTTGGTCCTGGGCACAACCTAAAACTGCACCCTGCCAGGGATGGGTGGCCTGGTGGGGCTCCTGGTAGCGCAGGAGCCCCCAGGAAATGCCAGGCCAGCTACCACCCCGGTGAAAGGCAGGTTGGGTTGCCTTAACTCCAGCCCGCCACAGCTGGGCGGGTAACCCCATAGTAGGGCTGAGAAGGCAGACTCATGAGAGAAAGTGGGCTAGATGCTCAAGAAGCCTGACTTGAGGCACCCTCAACTGGTCAATGCTGGGGCCAGGACTAGAAGTGTCAAAAGGGCCAGGGGCCCACCGCGAGGGACGCCCAGAGCCGAGGGCCTGAGGTTCAGATTGGTCTTGGAGGTGAGGCCTCCAAGACCTTTGGCCTATGTGGCCAAAGGTCTGGGGGGGGGGGGGGGCGGGGAGCTAAGTAGCCCAGAATGAGAACGGAGCAGGCTGCCTGATTGGAGGGATCTGTTTGGGATTCGGACTGGAGGATTATGGGGCCCAGTGTGGGGCCAGTGATATTAAGAACTGTGATGCCATCTGCGAGGCATGGGCTGCAGTGTAGGGAGTTGTAGCTGCAGATAGTGCCCCCTGGCATTGGGGCAGTAATGGGCAGTCTCCCGCATCATACCAACAGTCTATAGAACAGGAAAGTCATTGCAGGTGAGACTGGGAGGACTGCCCCATAGAGACAGGCAGGCAGGCCATCTTGAGAAGGGCCCTGCCACCTGTTACACTACCCATTCAACATATTGCAAAAAATTAATGGCTGGGGGGGGTGATCAAAGGTAAGTGTTATTTTTGAGGGGAACAAGATATCTGAAGGATGATCAAAGCTCAGTGTTATTTTTGAGGGGAACAAGATATCTGAGATGTTGCAGACAAGGGATGAAATCACCAACATTGCCAAGAAACTGTCTTATTTTAAGAGCAGCATCTTTTTCTTACTCCCAAATAACTGTCTTGTTAGCAGTTCCAATATTCTATTAAAAAATCAGCATCATAGGGCCTTCTCTGTACAGTGTAACCTCCCAGATTAGATCAACAGCTGTCATCCTGAATGTTTTCTTTTTTAGAGATTTCTTGAAGCCTTAATAAAAGATGATGATCTGAGGGCTGAAGCACAGAATAGAAAAAAAATTTTGAAACAGTCCCTTACCTCTCTGTTTATTTCCAGTCTATAAAATGGGAATACAGCAGGCCTTCCTCACAGTAGTACTGTGATATTAACAGACTGATGTCTCTGAAATGCTTCAGATTTATGGCCTTATATACTTTATATATGGACTGAATGTGGAAAGAATGAGTAATATTATCACAACTACTCCCAAATAAAGGACTTTGATTGAAAAAGTACTAGCAGCAATGAAGACTGGTCAAAGCAATAAAGATGCAGGCCACATTGTAAGAAATATGTCGGCAACATTCATAAAATGTGACCCACTATTTATACATATAGAAATCAGTTATGAGAAAAAGACAACAGGCAGCCGCAGATGATTTCAATGAAAGTAACATTTTATATGGTTTACCTGAATGTAGCAATACAGTGGTAATTCTTTTTCATGCCAGCATAGCACCAGAAGGCACTACTATAATAGAATTTATTCTTGTCAATTTACCCTTTATATTTAACTCATACTATATACTCACTTAGCATTTCTTGTAAATGTCATTTTTGTAACATTTGATGATGTACTGCATTAACATTAACACCAATTAAACTTATTAAAAGCTTTATTGTTACCATAGTAAACAGGTGCCTACTGCATTACACACAAATTTAATTTTATGAACTCTAAAAGAAGATATACAAGTTTCCTCCATCTCCAATTTCTACAAAGGATAATGCTACAAAAAGTTTAAATTGATTTAATTAAAGTGTTATACAAAATTTTAGTGCACTTGCAAGCTACTTGACTGCCATCAAGAGCATTTACAACAGGCAAATCAGCGGTGTATGTTTTCCCAAACCACTTCACACTTGACTTAGAGGGACTTCTCTGGGAAAGATGGAAGTACGGTATTTATACCAATGGAATTCTTTCAATCTCTACCAAGAGGGCTAACCAGGGTGACAAATGGGGAGGTAGCCTTAGTATCACAGGGCATTTCTACATGTACTCCGGGGTGGAGGGGGGCGCGCTTTAATTACAGTGGCTCCGAGAGCTGCTTTAAAGCGCCCGCAGCATCACGTGTATTCAGCATACCCCACTTCAAAATGGTGGCAGGAGCACTTTAACTAAAATTCGTTCAACAACCTTCAGTTAAAGTGCCCCCACTGCCATTTTGAAATGTGGGGACGCTGAATACATGTGATATGGAAACTGCTCGAACGCACTAATTAGCATGTGTCAGAGCAGAGCTCCATCGTGTGTATAGGTGCCCATAGACAGCTGCCCACTAGAAATTAAAAGCACACTAAAGAGATTTCACAAAGGCTACAAAATGTCGAGTGATTTGTCACTTTCAGCCTGGGTGAATTCAAACATTATTTGATTATAAGCTCAGGGACCATCCTTCAGAGAAAAGTCCTTTGCTATAGTACAATCTTTTGCAAAGAAGACATATGACCCTACATTTTAAGTTTGGCTTACTCTGCATTATATTTTGCCATGCTATTTGAGGACCACACTAAGATGCTCAAACTCTAAAGAAATGGAGGCAATATTGTTGCATCAAATCGTCATGACTTTCAGTGAAAACCATAGGTACAATAAAGGAGAATCAATATTAGGCAGTTTAGGCAGAGGGATATCACAACAAAATATCCATTTTTGTTTATTTTACACGAGATACACACAGCCTTATGTTTATATTATAACAAAATGTATTCATAAGCATGTGATTTATTTTTTATTTTCCTGTGTTTCCTATTTAGGAGCATCAGACTGGAAAAGGGATCCTGGACCATCAAGTCTAGTCACCTACATTCACATGCCCAGAGAACCCCAAAATATGTCACTTCAAATCCTTGAAAATATGCCATAGGTAAAAAAAAAAAAAAAATGTGTTTGGGGAGATGACTACAGCCAATGCCTTACACTACTGTAATGCCAGGGAAGTACTTCTTTAATATATGCTCAGAAAGTCCTAGGAAAAGGAACATGGCCTTGCTACAAAGGAAGGCATCCCGAACTGCCCTGCAATCCATATCAAACTGACCTAGAGGAAAAATTCCTTCTTTACTGCCCCCAAATTTGGTGTTTCGTATGATCCGGAGAGCAAATGCAAGAACCTCTAGCCAGGAACATCTTGTTTTCTAAATGATGTCAGTCAAAAACCCCAAGCCTCAGCAATAGCAAATGTCCCAAACGTCTCAGACAAAGATAAAGGCATCTGGCCCCCCTTTCTTTGAAGCCAGTGGCATTCATGAGGGGAAAAGAAATCTTTCCTGGCCCCAGCTGGCAACTTTTAGAAACTTTGAGGTATGGGATTATCTCTGACACCACTTCCATCAATTTGAGGACTACAAACAAATGTTCCCTTTTCACATCCACCGATTGTTGAGCCAGAACTTCCTGTTTTCTCAAGCTATCCCTTCCGTAAACTTTGGCCAATTCAATCTTAAAGTAATTTATGTTCTTTGCTCCCACTATTTTGCTTGGCAAACCTTCCAAAACTTCATTCCTCTAACAGTTAGAAGTCATCTTCTAATTTTCCATTTAAATTTACCCAAAACCTGTTTGTAGCCATTAATCTTGGGATGGTGCTGTTTTTCAACTTAAAAAGCTCTTCATCTTCCCTATTATTAACTCTACAAATGTACTTACAAGAGTGATGATATCCACTCTCAATCTCCATTTTCCTAAATGAAACAAGTCAAACTCCTTTAATTTTGTATTATAACAAGGTCTCCACTCCTTTAACCATCTTAATGGTCGTCCTTTGAACTTGCTCCAATTTAAGTTAATCTTTTTTGAATTGCATGCAATATTCTAACTGGAGTTTTACTAGTGTCTTATACAAAGACACCAATACTTCCTTGTCTCTCCTGAAAAAACTCCACGTAATATACCCTAAGACATTAGCCTCTCATAGCTGTATCATACTGGTAGGTTATGGTCATTCTGTGATCAACCAGTGCCCCCAAGTCTCTCTTCCTCAGATGTCTCCAATCTATGTGACCCCGTTGTGTAGCTGAAATCCCTATCACTGGTCTCCCAATGCATGACTTTGAAGTTCATACTGATAAACTTCAAATTTCTACAATTTGTTTAATGTGTTTTTAATAAAGTAATGAATAAAGCTGCTACTGAACAATAAAATATCAAGAACTCAGGAAAATATTCCAAAGACTGTGGTAAACTTTGAATATGCCTGATTAGGAAATGATTTACCTGTAATAAATTAGCTTTTACTGCTTTCTTTTGTTTGTTCGGTAAAATTAGTTTTGCTATTGTATAGACTCCATTTTCCTGGAAAAGAAACATAAAAGGATAATAAGCAGTGCTAACATTTCTTTTACACAGAAGATGCAAGTAAAATTATGTATTTCTTCCTTTTAACCAATTAAGAAATGAATGTGATTTAATGCAATATATAAGCCTGATTACATATCTACAAGAGCAAGATTATAACTCAGAGTACAGACTCAAAGATATTACTGAACTTATACATTTCATTGACACACACAACACCTTCACCTTCAATAACCAACACTTCCTCCATACCATGGGCACCAAAATGACCCCACATTATGCCAACCTTTTCACGAGCCACCTGGAAGAAAAATTCCTCAAGAACTGCACCATCAAATCTTTGCTATACTTAAGATAGATTGATATCATCTTCATCATTTGGACTGAAAACCTGCAACCTCTGATTGATTTATATTAGAAATTCAACAAGTATCACCCCTCCATCAGACTATCTCTGGAAAAATCTGAAGCCAAAATTTCCTTTTTAGACATGATGGTCACTATTCAGAATGGTAAAATACAGACCACCATATACAAGAAACCCACGAACTGACATAAAAATCTTCACAGAACCAGCAATCAGCCTAAACACACCAAGAAAGCTGTAATATACAGCCAAAGCCGTCTGGTACCACTGAATTTGCACTGAGAACACCCGTCATCATCACCTCACAAATCTCAAAAGGGCCTTAACTCAGCAAGGACACTCCTCCAAAGAGATAGACTGCACTTTTGAAAGAGCCATCCAGATACCACGTGAAGAATTGCTGCTGTACAGAAGAAAAACCCCCATGAATCACACACCACTGGTTATGACATATCATCCCTCCCTGGAACATATATGGATAATCCTCAAACAATTACAACCCATACTAGAAGGAGACCCAGTTCTTAAAGAGATCTTCCAGAACCACCCATCCTAGCCTTTAAATAAGCACAGAACCTCACCAACCCCATCACCAGAAGCAAGCTTCCTACCCTCCAAAACATACCAAATGGATCCAGACCATGCCGTGACAAGAAACGTAAAACATGTCAACACATCTCCACCCCCACAGTTACTACACCCCACAACAGAACCATCACCATTCCTGGATCTTACACCTGCACCTCCAGAAATGTAATATATCTCACCCAATGCACTAAATGCCCTGATGGAAAATATGTAGGAGAAACCAAACAACTGTGAACCAGAATGAACCAAAAATCTATCAAAGACAAGAATGCCCAATTACTTGTGGGGGCACATTTCTCACAAGACAACCACTCTCTCTCCAATCTCTCAGTTCTAATCCTCAAAGTGAATTTACAAAGCACCTTTCACAGATGAGCCTATGAACTTCACTTCATCAATCTACTGGATATTCTGATGCCTGAAGAAGGGTGTTTGTGCTTGAAAGCTTGCAATTAAAGAATTTTTTTTGCAAAAATCTTTTTGGTCTAATAAAAATATCAGCTCTACCATGAGCCCTGGACTAAGTATAGACAATGATTGATGACACATTATAACCTACCTAACATCTGACTCCCTAGGTAATCTCTCTACTTTTTACTAGCTATATTCATTCCTTCTTCCCCCACCCACCACCAGCTCTCATCCATTGACTAGAGCTACATTCATTCCCCTTCCCCTCCCTGCCACCTGTCTCTCACCTATTGACTACCTCAATTTACATTTTAACTGACTGGCTTTCTTGCATATGTACTGGCCTCTGGCTGCTTTACTACTCCATCCAGGAAGAGCACAGACCAACTGCAGATGCTTCCTCTGCCTGACAAAGGGTATTTATACCCGAAAGCTTGCAAAGCAGACTTTTGCCAACTATCTGAGTTGATCTAATAAAAGATATCAGATTTACCCAAAGTCCCTTGTCTGCCTATGTCCTTAGACCAACACGGCTACAACCTACACCCCTGCGAATTTACATATTTTCACCATCCATTATATACTAAGTTCTAAATTAAAATCCATTAATTGTAGAAGGAGGGTGAAGCCATCAGTACATTCACTGTAAATCGATTCTGCAAGTACATTCATATAGACAGAACCTGCAGCCCTGTTGAATCCCACTGATGTCAAGGAATTTGCAGAGCTGGAGGTTCCGGTCACCCACTATACAAATTGAAATGTTGTGGATTAGTTTCATGCACCAGAAAGATCTGCACTGAAGTAAAGCCCTACCTGATAGGCTGGAGAATAAGTCATCTGATTCTGCACAAACCGTGTTGTATTTCAGTATGTTTTGATAATAACTTTGTTTGTGTCATCCAATACCTATTGTGACTCCCAACCTGAGCTTACTAAAACTGAGGGCATTTATAGACATGCTCGGGGGGGGGGGTTCTTCAATTAGTCCAGCTCTAAGAGATGCACTAATTAAAAGCACCTGGGGAGTCATCTCATCAAATGAGCTTTAGTTTAAAGCACCCTGCCAACATTTTTTATCATGGGGATGCTGATACACGTGATGCTGGAGCCTGCTGGAGTCCAGTAATTACAGTGCATTGGAGCAGCCTCCCTGCATGTGTATAGGAGCCTATTGAGAGTATATGTGTTTAAGAAGTTCCTGGGAAAAACTGAGGTTCTTACTTCATCTGTCACAAGCCTCTGAAGTGCTAAACGATAAACTGGAGTGCCCAAGATGCTGGAGCTCCAGAAAACAGCATGTAAAAGCTACTGGAGAGGATTGTTCAGGGATCAACACTGGTCTTGAACCTATGGCAGCTGGGCCATGGGGTACCATATGCCAAAGACTCCTAGAGAGAGAGTCTGCGTGCCTAAGACGAGAATGATAGAGATGGTGTCTGGACACTGCTTAGGCCCAGTGGGCTTGGAAGCATGTTGGATCCAAAAGTTAGATCTAAGGCATCAGACTAGTGACCAACTGCAAGAAGACACTCATCCACCTGTGTAATTTCCTGATCCCAAGTCCATGCTTAACTGCAAGCAGTTTAATTGATTTTGACAGATCCAGGAATAAAATGAGCACACAAGGTCATAGTCATAATGTATTGGGAGTGCTACGTAACAAAGTGCTACTCTGTTCTACTGACAGTTTCTTGTTCCTCAAAAAAAAATGAGTTGTTTCTTTTTATAAATTAAATCTGATTTAAATAAATTATATTTTACTGAAATAAAAACTGGACTCTACTTAAAATATACACATGTGTGTAACAAGGTGCATGGGTCAGGGGCTGAAGCCCAGCTGCAGGGGGCTAGAGGGAATAATAGCCAGCCTGCCTATGAGCCCTGGGACAGCTGACAAGGATGACTGGCTGGCCCCTAGAGGAAGTTAAAAGCTCCCAGGTAAGGTAGCTGAGGGAAAGGGAGAGGAGGCTGGCATGCTGAAGGAAAAGCTGAGGAAAGACCAGAGGTTTACTTTTGTTTGTTATTGGCACATTTGTTTATCATATTGCTTGCTTTGTTTTGCTGTGGGGACAAGCTTTTCATATGTAAAACAAATGTACTGGAAACTGGAACTAAGAGCTGTCTGGCCTTTATGAGGAAGCTGGTTCCTGGGACAGGCTAAAGGAGAGACAATCTGCTACACATGGTGGAGAATGAGGTAAGCTAAATCCAGCTCCAGCTATGGACACATGAGCCCTGCTAAAATGGCTGGAGTGGCTGCAGCTGCAATAACAGCAGCTGTTTCAGCAGCTCCAACTCCAGCAGTAGCAGTTCCAGAGGAAGCACCAGCAGCAGTGGCAACCGCAAGAGTTTCTGAATCTGCATTTGGACTCAAGACGGACCCCCACCCAAGTCGGTAAATCACCTGGTTCTTCAAGGATAGAAGGTGGGGTCCTCACCAAGATGGAACTGGCAGGTGACCCAGAGGCTTTCCTTGCAACTTTTGAGCAGGTAGTAGAGACCTATCAGTGGCCACTGGACATGTGGGGTATGAGGGTGGCCCCTCTCTTAACTGAGGAGACACAGGCTGCTTACTGGACCCTGGGAGCAGATTCAGCCTGGGATCTCAAGACCCTCAAAGTAGCCATACTGGACCATCTGGGGTCTTGAAGGGGAGGCCTATGATCACAAGTTTTGATTAGAGACTTGGGAACTGAATGCACAGCCCTGAGTCATGACCCAGAAGCTAAGGAATTTGTGCACTTGCTGGCTACATCAGGACTCTCGATCAGCTGTGGAGATCATAGAACTGGTGCCCCTACAACAGAGGCCATCCTTCTGGGAGAAACCAGGAGGTAGGTGCTTCGCCACCAGGTGGCCAGCTTGAAGGAAGCCAGGTAGAACGTAAAGGATTTCATGGGAGCAGAGGTAGACTGTTGGAATTCCTGGTGGAAGCCAGCCACTTCCAGGCCTGAGGAAGCTGGGACTGCAGAGGAAGCAGGCCAGGTCTCTATGGAGTGTTACCTCCTACCACAATAGGGGCATTACCTCCGTCTCCTCCAAAACCCAGGCCAGGGGAGGGTCCTTGAGTGGCCTGCCAGAGAAGAAAGCCACCTGGGGCATCCTCACAGCCCAGGAGGAGGAAGGGAGGCTCAAATGACTTGTTTCCAATGTGGGGAGAAGGGGCATTGATATTGGGACTGCCCACTAATGGATTGTGGGTATACTCATGACTTTATCTTGGTGTCTTAGACTTCTTGCAAGAATCTTGGCTGGCCCAACGGACCACCACATTTGTCTCAGAGGAGCCTTGAAGTTGGGAACAAAAAGCAGGTGAAATCATTTCTGGGCTTAGCAAGCTATTATCAGTAATTCATTCCACAGTTGGCTGCCATCACAGCACCACTAACTGACCTGCTGCAGAAGTAAGCACTATAAGAGATCAACTCAAAAGTAAGACAGTGTTTGGAACAGAAAAACAGCTACTATGCAGTAAAACAGCCTGTACTTAACAAAAGAGTTTATACTGCAGACAGATGCCTCAGAGCAAGGCCTGGGGGTGGTTCTTCCCTAAAGGTTTGAGGATGGAGAACACCTGATTC